ACTACTACTACTACTACTACTACTACTACTACGACCACTCAGTTTTGCTTGATTCACGGAACTCTGACCTGAAAACCTGTTTTAAAAGTATCAAAACATCTTAAAACTCATCGATTTCATTGCTCCAAGCAAAATCTTCAAAGGGTTCGTACACAAGTTAGCCCCGGGTAAGTGAATCATACCAATTGTTTAGGGGGTGGCATCCACCTTCTCGACGCGGGGTGCGCTTCGCTCGTTTCGCTCGCTCACGCTAGGACTCCCCCACGAACCACACCACCGACTGCTCGATGGACTCGGTGGCTTGGTGCATGGGCATCTCGGGTACCTGGGGGCGACCGAGACCGTCGAACCCTCGAGCACGGAGACCGTCGCGGGTGTCTCGGTCGCTGGTTCTCCCATCGGCACTCGGTCTCGGGTGACCGAGTTGGGCACGACACACATGTGGCGGTTCAACAGGCAGTTGGACAAGTCCACCGTGGCATTTGTGACAAACAGTCCGTAATCAATGGTACGAAATTACAGTCAACGGCTTTATGGACCTCATATCTTTTCAGGAGAAACATTGCAAAACGATAACACATTCTGTGAACAGGCAAACGGCTGTTGATACTCCCCATATCCCCACAAGCTCTACGGCAAAACCACATGTTTTTTTCATAAAAGGTCTTCGGTGAACCACACATCTGGACCAAGCTACACCGCCACGTTGATGTTGTTGACCAGCAAAGATGTTTCAAACAAACGAGCCCGTCCCGTCACGTTCGTGGACCGTCGTACCGAACCTCAGGTACGGTGAGGACGGAGACACTGTTATGTAGGTTTGGACGGTCCAAGTACCTTCTGAGGAGGTACGACTGGATCCCTGGGTATTTTAGACATGGTCCCGGTTCCCTCTCGACCATGTTTGCAGACGACGCACGTTTTTCTAGATGATTTGCTATGTCTACCCTGGCTCCAGATCGTTTCTTTGCAGCTTGAAGATTAACATGGTTGCAAACGGACCACGCTGTCAAGAAATCAGTTGAAACCACATTCACCAGGATGGATCACATGTTCTTCCCACGGAATTCTAGTGTACCTTGCTAGGTACCTGGGTGACTTTGGAGCCACCCTGGCTTCAAAGATCCACACAACTTCTTCAGGGCTTGGATGGCAAGCTTTCTGGTGGTGTTTTAATCACGCCGGGCCAAACAGCAATAGGTGATGGGCGAACTTGTGAGTGTGTTCCAATTCAATGCCCTGATGAGACTCTTGAACTTTGTGTGATATTGGTCAGCTATAGGTGCTCAAACACCTGGCGTGGGATTGTTGGAGGTACAAATGCCATGGTTTACCAGGTTACCATGCAGAGAGTGTTAAAGCGATTACTGTATTTTTCCACCAATGTTAGTTGGATCCACTAGTTGCTAGTTCACCAATATTTGACCAAGATCAAATGCAATGATCAATTACTATCGTTTCCATCACTGCTTTAGCCATAAACAATTCAATGCGAATCAATGCGATGGTTAAAAGAAACCTTGGAAGTAGTCGTATTACCAATGCAAGTTTGTGTTTGCTTGTTCGCCTCCCATTCAGATTGGGTTCTTGTCTGGTGTTGCGCTGCAGGATAGTTTGAATGGAACGCGACTGTTTCATGAAATGCGCCTGTTTGCGTCTATGGTCGGTGAAATATCGGATGAGAACACGACTTGCACATGGATATACCTCGACTTGTAGGCTTTTTAACAATAAGCACCTGGGGATGCTAAAGGGCAGCGGCAGCAGGCCTATAGGCTTCCTTGATCTATCCCAACCCCTCTGGCTACTGACCTAGCCTGATTCACCTGAGACTCACGGAGAACAACCGCCACGAACGTGCGTAAAACCATGTGCAAAAAGCGAGCAGAAAAGTGGCCCAAGTGGGGGGATGAATTTGGACCGTCTAAAAATGCTGGTTCTAGAAACGGCAATGATAAATTTTAGGAATATGTCATATATATATATGTATATATATATATATATGTGTGTCTGTTTGTTTGTTTACCCTTTCCTTAAATATCATATGAGTGTCTGGGCTGCACATGGTTTGATCGGTTTCTTTATGTGCACCAATCCTGTTCAAATCCCAGGCGCTCGCTTCCTCAACTCGGCGACGGTGATGACTTCTCGCTCATCCCTCGTTGCCCGGCAAAGCTTGGTGAGAGTGACACGGCCAACACAGCCACACCTCCGAAAAAGTGTGCCACGGATGGAACAACTCCACAACATGTTCGATGTTGCCCTCTTGTATGCTAAAAATGCAAAACATGGGACGGTACTCTATCCTCAAGTGTGCAAAACTGTTGATATGTCAAACCTTTTATCAATGAACTTCTGCCACTCAAGGAGGTCAAAAGGCGTCTCAACATGTCTCAACATGGATCCTGCAACAAAGTTCTATATCTGGCCAGCGTGAGTCTAAGACTTGACCGATTCCAGCAAGTGCGCTTCGCATCAAGCTAGTGAATCGAATTGGTCAATCATTTGCAGCAATTCTTGGCAATTCATCGGTGCATTGGTGGGAAAATAACCCAGATCAATGGCCGTGTATTGAAACGCTTGATCGTGTAATATCATTGATATATTGAATGATGTCTGTCGAACGATGCAAAATGGTCCATATATTGTGTTTCATGCAACTGAGCGGAATCCTGGTGGAAGTGGCCAACTATATATAGTAAAACAGTTAAAACATCGGCCCCAACCAAATGTAATGGGCAAATGAAACTCGGATAGTTTGCGTGGACAAACCATTGTAACAATTTCCAACGGTTGGTCTATGATGCACATAAACAATCTCTGAAAACATTCTGAAACCACTATGCCAAAACAATGGCCATCCCAACCCCCCTTGTTCCCTTGCATCAAAAAGCGACGTGGACTTTGCTGACCCGGTGTTTTTTGCCTGTCGCCGGCTGGGAAACAACATGGTTCCAAAAACATGTGGTGAACCCAAAACTATTGCAAACATTTGCACTGACAATGACTCGTCACAGGTGGTGCTTGGTGGATGAATTATAAAAGGATATAGATATAACTAACACACAACAGTTACGGTGAATCGTGTTTATGTTTCACACTTGTCACTTTGACCTAACACGCAATCCTTGCGAACCTGACCATCAAGTCCGAGCGGCCATTTCCACATGTCCAAATCCAACGGGGTCCAACAAGACATGCTCTTTGGTTGGGATATCTCAACCACGGTGTAGCTGACTGGACACATGAAACAAAACACACACACAAAGACACACTTAAAGGTATACTGTAACGCTGTAAACACAATGCATCTTGTGTGATGGTCAAACCAGTTGGGCTAAAGTGCGGGGCTAGTGGCACACCACAGAATGAGTGGGTACTCATGACAACACACAGTTGTTTCCTAATGCTGCGATCTTAACAGGAATGCCTGTGCGGTCGGTCAACATCAACATCAAAAGGCCAACACATGCAGCTTAGCGAGCAACCAATGCAGCACTGCAACATAAATCCTGTGCTGTCAGCAACGTTGAACAATCAAAGTATAGATAAAACAATTCCCTGCCTCCTGCTTGGCGCTAGCGGTGAACAAGGCCTTCGCCTTTAGGATGCTCATCCGCGTTCCTGCGCAACGTCTGCATAGACGAAGGGCAGCATGAAACTCGCACATCCTGGACCACCCGATTCCTCCAAACTGTGTGATACGTCTGATGCGTCAAAGCACAAGAAAGTTTTAAGCAATGCACCGATAGCGTCTCCAGAAGTGTCCAACGAAAAGGTTGCTCCTGCGCGGCGTTGCCAAAGGCGATTGAAGTAGTCCTCAGCGGTACGAATGGCTTTGAGCTCAATGGCGGTCAAAGAGCGCGGAGGATTGGAAGGGCCCGTGACGCCACAACAAAGCTCCGCAATGGCATGCCCGCACATGATCCTTACAGGTGCTTCGACAGTTTCTCTACCCTTCGCACCCACAATTTTGCCTGCAAACTTGGGCATCCGTCGCGGTCAACTGAATCACATCGTTTGATTCGCGGCAAGACTGCAAGGCCAAACATGAGATCCCATGGCCAAAGAAAGACTTTATGGACGCTGCTAACCATGAGAGTTGTCAGGCCTCCCGGCAGTTTCCTCTTCTTTGGTGGCTTATAAGAAACTATTTCGTAAGCTCTAAGAACACCAAACAAATCAACGATCAGGGCAACGCATCCTGAACTCCTGAACCATGACCCGACCCAACACATTGATAGCAAACAGGGCAACCCTCCCAAATTCCTGACCATTGAAAATGCTGGTCAATTTAGGGTTCTTTCTGTCTTGACCGAGTCTTGAGCTGCTGGTTGAGGGAGTGGACTCTCGTCCACTCCCTCTGGAAGAAACCATGTTGAGGACGGATCATGTTGAGGATGGCTCAACCCAAAACAAATCCCAAATGCCAGGACCATAGGTGGAACATGCATGAAAAACACGTATAATAAATAATCATTCATATAATATACCAGCGAAGCCAAAAAGTTGAGGAATTCCAGCTTCACCCCAAAAAACAAACTTTTTCTGTGGATTCTCGCATTTCTCCGGGTCTCTCCGCTTTTTCTCGCACCTCATGGGGATTCCTCCACGCCTCCGGGTTTTCTCGCCCCACATTCTTGCACCACCTCCGCTTTTTCTCGCCCCATCTCCGCATTTTCTTGCTCCAAGTCCGGTTGCCTATTTTCTCCGGCCCGTAATTTCAATTTCTCCGGTTCCGCTTTTGAGAGGTGTAGGAATTTCCACACATCCGACAAAAACGAAAGAAACTCTGAGAAACGATCCTTTTCCGGCATTTAAGGCTTAGCTGGTATACACATAGACTATGCAAATATCACTGAAGAGCATCGGCCGAATCGGTCGAATCCACGAATGGGTCCGTGGAGGGAAGGAGCTAGATCGTATAGATTATCCGTATGGAATATATGTCACTACGTGGACCCCTGAAACCCACCCACGGGGACCCACGGGATATTCCAGAAAAAGAAAAACGATTTCACTCCGCTCCGCACTACCAAGTGAAACATACATATATCATATATACATATTGACATAACTATTGACATATTATAACACGCATAAAAAAAGAAAAAAAACACACAGAACTCACCTCTCCTCCAAATCAAACATAATAAGATCACCCCACCAATCGGAGGAACGTCACATGAACGTCGACCAGAGCGGCTGCCACATCCTCCCAGACCGTGGCGCCCGAGGCGGCCTAGGTAGGCGACGGACGGCGGCGCCACGACGTGGCACAAGGAAGTCTAAGACTTTGGGGTGAAGCTGTTTTGGTACCGACTATGAAGGGCCCAGAAAGGTTCTTCTCAGTGCCAGCCTGTTTTGTTGGAAGTTATAACTTGGGTCTATTCTAATACCTGTGACAGTGGATGATGATGGTTCAGTTGCAGGCCTTGTTCAAGAATAGTGATGTTCTTGCTTGTGAAACCGGGCCCTGTTACAGGTAAGATTGGACAAACCCATCTCATTGAGAGGTGCGGCACACAAAAACTGCCTCAACCGCTTCATGGGTGCACGACCCTCCCTGGCAGGAAGCGCCCGTGCCGGCGCCTTTAAGGCTAAACTACCAAGCTCAACTCGACCTGGCTTCAGTCCACACACACACACAGCAGCTCTTGGTGGACTGGTTCATATCAAAAAGGCTGAAACACACTGGGCCTATAATCTCTATGATACAGAGATCTTCAGTCAAACAAGCGATTCTCCACATCCCCAACCAAAAAAACTCAACACCTGACCTGAGCTTTTCGACTCGTCATCGAAGGTCTGCCATTTGACGAACGACGCGAGAATTTAGCGAGCAGCAATGAACCGATCTTTGAATGCACGGGTCCCAACGCCGCAGCTTTCAGCGCAATTTCGCGACGAGCGAAGACGTATGGCTAGAATGGCTAGAATGTGCAATTGGTTGGACCAGGCGGACCATAGACCGCCTAAATCGTGTACCAGACCAGTCTCCTAAGCTTTGCTGAGGCACACTTTGCTTGCTCTCCGCATGGACGTCCATGATGATGGCAATCAGCCTTGGAATACACATGCGGGTCTCTCTGGCGAGACTCCGGCAGGGTCGACCACAAGGCAAGCTTCCTGGGCCCAAGAGTCAGGTGCTTGGTCTGGTTCTCGTTTTTTTGTTTAAGATTTCTCAGTCATTCTGGAGTAAAGAGACTCATTATACATTCCAAAACCAAAGAGGAAACTGGTCATTCTTTCAGATTGGTCAATATTTCATGATACCAGGATACTAAAAACAACGAAACGATCTATCTCTTGGCTCCAGGGTGCTACCTGCAGCTACATGATCACTTAGACCTCCAAAACCCAAAGCATCAGGCCAACGACTTAGGTTAAAATGGGACCTCCCAGGCAACGACTCCCTGGGGTTCGGGACATCAGTTCGACCGCTCTCATCCGCTGGGTTTCCCCCTAGGAGCTAGCTCCGAGACCAGAAAAGTGTAATGGATCCGAACGGATCTGAAACTGTATTCCCTGAGGTGGCTTGGATGCTTCTTTCCTACCTTTTTTGGAGATGGGTCTCCAGGTAGATAGAACACGTGCCCAAAGAAACCTAGGATTGAAACTCTCCATAAGACATCATAAGACTACCTACTAGTAAAAAAAATCAACGTGGCTTCTGTTTGCCAGAAGCCCAACGAGCACCGCTTTGGTGTTCTAAGGCACATGTTCAGAAGGATCAGCACCATGGTCACCATGAAGGACAAATGGAAGAGTCCAGCCTCGAAACTTCCGTCACTGTGAGACTGTTGCCTTGGTGGATGAAGCAACCACCTGAGAAAAACGGATTACCCTCCCTCCAACAATAATGGAAGTCGAACAAATGGTCCCTGCAAAGACCATTTTGCTCTACAAAAAGGAGAGAACTCCATTTCCATGTTTGTTTGGAGGGAGGGCAAGCCGTCTTCTGTTCTGCCTTCTTTGTGCTGCTTGGCACCTGAAAAGGATATTTGGTTGCCTTAGTCAACCCATCTCCTTTGATTTCATTGATTTGATCTCATTTGGGTGATCATTAGCCTGAAAACAACTGCACAGAACAGGGGCTGAGATGTGTTCTGGGGAAGAGTGGAAATGAGTGATATGTTGAGTGAAAATGAGTTGCCCAATCTCGTCAAGTCAGCTGGGAGAGCTGTAGTAGCGGTGAAAGAACGCCAGAACGCCTCATCCGGAGGTGCATCCAGCATTCCCCTTGTCCGGAGGTAAGAAACACAAGTTGTTGGGTAGAACATTTATGGCATGTTTCGCAGCAGAACATCGCCGCTCGCTCTCGAATTTTGGGGAGCCAACCCACGAACTGATTGACCCCAGACCACCCTTTCTTAACATTTGGGTCTGGAAGGATGATGATGGCATTGATGATTTGTGCCGCCTACTGATGCATGTTCTGCCCCCCTTCGTATACAACCATATTGAACCGTTCCATCAACATTCCTATGGACCTGATGCACAGCAATTGGATGATTGACGACAGCCATCGACAGCCCATGTTGACTTCTTCATCTTAATTCATTGAAAGGATTGGCGCTTTTCAAGCCACCGGACCTCAGTGATCCCAGTCAAAGCTCAACCGCGCACCCAGGTCGACCTCAGTTGCCCGCCGAGGGGCGATGAAGCGGCCTGCCTGTGCCTCCATGGCCTCGAAGTCCAGGTCGCCCATCAAGGCGCGGAAGAGAGTGATAAAGGCGTTGTTGAGGCTCGAGTAACCTCCAACGGCAGCGATTTGGTGGAGTTGGAGTAACCACTGCACCCTGGTGGCGAGCACGGAGGCAGGCTCGCACGTCACCAATGCAATTCATGCAGACAGAAGGATTGGTCACCAGAGAAGGGCTGGTCATGAGTCCAAGTCACCAGAAGGTCACCATACACTCCCTGGAACTAACATGGAAGTGGATGCCATGGCCCCGAGTTCGGAAGACCATGAAATCCACGACAAACTGGTGGTTTTCCACTTCCATGTTAATTCCAGGGAGAGTAAGTCAGTAGTCATCACCATCACAGCCGCTTTCAGGTGAATTTTCCTGGGTGCCAGGTAACCCCTGGGCCAGGTAACGGAAGCGAGCTGGAATCATCTGCCAAAAAGAACACCTTGGATAGGTTTGTGGCTGCAACGAAACAAACCTGTGATACCAGCGCCTTTTTAAGCCTGGCACATCAGCAGAGCGATAGACTACGAAACAATGGACACCATGAAACAAAGCCATAACTGCAGGTGTTTAACTCGTATCTAAGTTTGATCCGCAAAAACCAGCGGTTCCTTGGCAAAGTTGAAACATCCAGCTGCACCACATCGTCCATCCAGCTCACCAAAAACGATCCCTTGGAATGGCTTAAGAAGCCTGGTCTTAATGGACTAAATATCAGCAAATGGAGTTCACCGGAGAACATCAAACCCAGTCATCTCTTCCAGTAATATAAAGTAACCATGTTTCCAATGGATCAGGTGTCCTGACCACCATGATCCAACCTGTGCAGGATTGGTTCCTTCTGATCCAATGGAACCTTCTAACTGATTTGGAAGGGAGAGCGGCAAAGCTCGACCTGGAAAACCAACACGCGTCATCCAACAATCCCATCTTGACACAATGGAAGGGTCAGGAAGATCAGGCACTGAAGCAACTGCTCTGGCTGCACTTCCGGCAGCGCCCTTCCGACAAAACCATGCAATGGTCCCAAACAAACCAGTGCATCTGGTACATTACCACGCAGGGCTCGAGTGATGTCAGGGCTTGAGTGATGCGTTGTAGCTGGTATGACATACACCGGTGGATCCATTGCCCAAAGCCACCTTGATTGAGATATGCAAAGAATTTAATGCCACACCAACTGGACTCCATCAGTCATTCCGTATTACTTATTCCTTCAGTTGTTCAGTCATTCTGTATTAGATATTCCTTCAGTTGCCCAGTCATTCTGTCTTAGTTATAATTGCTCTTGGGATACCTCCCACTCTTGGCTTCGACCACCGCAGAGTCTGAGCCTTCAATGGCTCTGCCGAAAAAGCCCATGGCCATGAAGACAAAGCTCAGAAACACCGACACAAAGATGATACCAAAGTGAACCTGAGTGTGGTCCCAAGTGAATTCCTCTCTGAAGAAGATTGTCACCTTGTGGGCGGTGAGGCCCAAACCACCCTGGTCTAGTTCGTGGTCTGCTCTCCCTTCCCGGACCTTCCGTTTTCATGCATTTGACCCCACCTGGAAGTCAGAACCCACCACTGCCAACTGCTAAGAGGATAAATCAACGCACAACAAATACAATGGTTTCAGAGTAGATGGCACGTTTCCCCCAAGATGTCCTGAAAACACGGGGGTCCAGTCCTAAACCACCGTTACTTGTGGGCCCCTGTGCCATCTACTCCTCTCAATGTCAAACTTGGGACGCCCATGAAGCGGGCAGCCCATGGTCAGCGGGCTTCATAGAAATGGGCTTCTCACTCGACTCATCCAGCAGATGTTTCGCCCCGGCGCCGAAAGAAGAAACCGGGCGCGGAACCGCCAGAACCGCCTTATTGGGTGTGTTTCAGGAGCTTTGGAGCCTCAAGTTGGAAAGGGAAAACATAAACAAAAAGACGAACACCCGTTGGAACAGGGGACTCACTGGCCTCACTTCTCTATTCCAATGTTGCCAATTGAAGCTCATGAAGGCTTCTGGATACATTCGGTCACTTGGACTTAGACCTGCTGAAGGGCGGAAAATTAATATATTCTCCTTGAACCAACAAGCAAGCTGAATGCCTTCCAGCGGACGGCATGTTCCATTTATCATTGAGGGAGCATGGCAAGATAGCAAGATAGGCAGAGATCGGCCACGCTCCAAATAGGGATGACATAGGGATACTCTCTTGATCTAGCTTCTCCATGCTGATCTCGCTCGGGTCCCTTCCATCCTGTTCTCACACGGCCCGGTCCCGCGTCCGGTCCCGGGGGCATCTCCAAGCGGCTAAATCCACGAAGGCAGCCCAAATGGTGCGGCTCACCACCTTGAGAAGCCAGAAACGCTCTAACTTGGACTAGCTGGAGCAAGCTGTGGACCCAGCTGTGGACCCGGTTGTATTGGTTAACCAACTGAATTCGTCCCCGGCAAAACAGGACAGCTAAAAGAACGACCGTTGGATGGCTTCCAAGCGGGTCTGGGGTTGAAAATGGGTTTGGATGCCTGTGGCGTCCAACGGTCCGTATTAATCCTTGGGTTCGCATGAGATGCCTCCAGCCTCACACCAGACTTTAAAGTCTGCAGGATTGCATTCCCCATCTCTTTACACCAACCCATCCACTTGGTTCTGTTTTCTTTGCAAAGAAGTGCAACAGCCTCAATCTTTCGAAAAGTATCTGTCCTTTAGGATGCTTACGTTAAGCTCGTTGGACAGGAGTCCACCTTCTTCACCCCTCAAATTTTGAACGTTTGCCTCAGGTCTGAACGTTAAGAAACCTGACAAAAGCGAGTGGTGGTCGAAGGGTTCAATATCATCAAAACTTGCAAACATGCCAGGTGATCTCCAAATTGGGAGGTGACATGTGAACAGTTCATTGGCTATACTTCGCAGGATTGACAGAACCATTACCATCATGCCACGGACGCATGGACGGCGCCCAGAAACTGCCAAGCGTGGCTGCAAGGTGAAGGTCTTGAAGAGCCGTAGAAGAATGCAAAAAGGATAGAAACCTGAGCTCCGCAGCTCTTCTTCTCCGCTCCGGACCGGAAAGCCACAAATTGAAAGCAATCATCTGATTGAAGGTTCCGATGCGTCATAGTGCTGGGACTTGCTGCGAATGTGTGGGACTGACTGGTTTCAGCCATCTTTCAATAGAGTTTGACCATGGCCTGTAGACCATGCTTATGCTGTTTCTTCAAGGAGGACACAAAGGCCAACAAAAGGGTCATTAGACAACACCAGTTGGACCCAACACATAATCCTGGTCAACAAAAGAACAGCTCAAAAAACAATCAAACCACTGATCAAACCGTATTTGTGGGTCTTATGTTTTCTAAGCACGGTTGTCGCTGACTGATGTTTGGCTCGTCTATCGAATTGGCTGAACCACCCCATTCACCACTGACTGGGACCGCGAAAGCCAAGCGTATCTGGTGCTCCAAATCTGAGCGTCCCACTGCTGACCTTGGCCCCGGGCTCGGCAGGGTGGCAGCTCAAGAGTATGTCAGGAAGGTCAGGAAGTCAGTGAACCGGCTGCTTTTTCTAGTCAGCTTAGCTAGATTTATATCGTTAGTTCACCAATTAAGCATACAACCAATCAATTTATAGCTTGTGGCTTGTGTTACGAACTTCGCTAGCTGCTTAGCTCGCGAACTTCCAGGAGTTGTTTGGTTCCTTTCAATATTCTTGCCGGGGTTGTCTGCACAGCTATCGAACTATGTATCTAGAATTTGCTTACTTGTCCTACCAGTGGCTCAAAATCATCCAACATGAAACATGGTTTCAAGACAAAACATTAATCACAAAAGGGAAGACTCTTTGTCTCTCTCACACCCCGCTGGCAGTCCTCATGCAGAATCCCGAACACAAAAGAAACCTGCATCTTCAAGCTAGAGCCGCTAGACATCATTGCTTAAAGGCAAATCTGGATGCTGCCTCCGGAGGCTTTGAGGGATGCTTTGAGGGAAGCCCGCCCACTGTGGGTCTCTGACCGCTCTCTGACCGCCTTGTGAAAGTTTTTCTCAACATGTCCAGGATCTGGTTTTGTCACGCAAACGAAAGGCGCGGATTTTGGGATGGTTTTTGGATCCCCAAACAAGATCGGACATCACTGGGCCAACATGCAAAGAGTGTCGCCACAGCCGTGGCTTCCACCGCCACGGACGTCGTCTGCTTCGATCCGATCGGACCTGACGTGAGAGCCCGAAACCAACCGAATGAGGTCTCTCTGCAGTGTCTCGAAGACCCCAACTCATCTGACAGGTCATGCTTGACTGCTACATGTGCAAACTGCTCTGCCTATGTGCCTGCAGCTCCCGGTGGCATGCTCCCATATGCCCCCCAAACAGCTGGCCATGGCGCCAAGGTGGTCTGCTCCGCCAACGACCCTGCAGCGGTGGCCATTCGCACCACATCATCTGACGGGCGACGGATCGTGAAGTCGGGGAACGGATGCGCTGGAGGCCACGAAGAACGTCAAACTACCTGGAATCTCAAAGTACTTTTGGAAAATGAGTCATGTCTTTATACTACGTGTCTACGTACAATTTTCCAAAAGCAGCGTCATGTCTTTGAATATATTATACCAGTGTACTTGTACTACCTGGAATCTCAAAGTACAAGTATCTGTCTTTATGTGGTCATGTCCCATTTTCTAAGGTACTCTGGAGGGTCCATGTACACACTGAGGTGATCTGAGGTGCGTGTTTTTTTGCCGGGGGCGAGTCACCCAACACACATGCGAGATCAATTGAAACCTGAAGATCTTCCCGAAATTCAGAGTTCCTGTTTGCCAAGGGAGCTCATGGATTTTGGGTTCTGAGGTGAATTGCGCAGGGTTTGTGAAGATGCTGCGCTGGTCTCCACGATCACACTGACTGGAAAACGGTATTCCCCCCATATCACCAAAGCCATCGTTTATCCCATTGAACCTTGGTCCGGTCCAAGAAATGAACTTATTTTGGATTTGCGAACAATCAAGACAGCCTCTGACCAACTCGGATAAGCCCCACTCTTTGCTCACCTGAGGGAAAACCCAGGTCAGACCGGTTGCAGGCCCGGCCTTGGTAGCCCTGGCACTGTGCTTGATTGCCCGAGTTGCAGGGGATCAGGAGAGTCTGCAGTGACACCTGGCAAACGAAGCGTTCGATGAAGCTGAGATGAGTTTTGTGTTTCTCCCGTTGTAGGAGACCTCCGTTTCAACAACCCGGTGGTCCCTTTGTAGTGCACAAAGCTTCTGGTTGCAGAAATCAACGCTGCCTGTTGCCACCGCGGCGCATCTGGCTTCCCAATATCCACCAAAATCAAAGGTGTGTTGAGCTCAAATGAAAAACAAGGTAAAGCCAAGCTGTTGTACTTTTGTCATGGGACCATTTGGCTGGATGTCTGATAGTTTCGACATGTTTTGACCACAGCCTGCAGGTTCATGTGACATGTTCTCTTAGTGTTCAAAGCTTTCTGTCAAATGCCTCAGAATTGACCAAGCGCATCGTGGAATTGCATGTTCCTACACATCGTGGGTGTCCAACTCTAGTGGATGATGGCTGTCAGATGATTTCAAACGATGTTAAGCAGGTCAGATTCTCCGAACCTTTCTTTCACTTGAGCGTGACCATTGGGAAACCCATGGGACCCAATTGCCTCGCCTGCAAGGCATGCCGCTCCTGAACCGTGTGGACCCAAAGCCCTTGGCGGAAGCGACCGTGACGAGCTGGAAGAGCGGCGTTTCCGTTGATCCATCGGAGTATGGCCAGGATGGGTCAGTCTGTATTGCCAAGCACCTTTCAAGTGGTTTTTCATTTTTTGAAATACCCTACGCTACTTGTGGATCTTCATTGGACACCCCTTTTGCAGGCGTCCTTGTCAATGTAACTATTTCTTTGTCTCCAAAAGTCACGAGGTGGTTCGACCAAGCCAACACCAAGACGGGGGTTCGCTGGTGTCCCTGGTGTCTGGTCACTGTTTCATGGTGGCGCTCTCAGGTTGGGCCACGAAGAGATCTTTGGGGCCCCATTGACGGAGTGAGTGAGCCGGCCTTACGGATACGGCCTATACGGCCTGACCAGAACATGCACTAAGAGGAAGCTGCAGTGGCTCCAGGGTGCACCTATCCTGACCTGCTTTGTTGATTGGGTATGCATGAATTGATGATCTGCATGCCCCGGTGAACGGTTCTGTTCATGTTCTGAAAATCACCCAAAGAAACATCATTCATCTGTCCACGCCCACCGCCCACCTAGTAAGGTGAAGGCAATGATGATGGATGCCCAGTCAATCAAGGTCCACACACGAATGTACTTCCTGAGCACAACTGAATGGTCACAGTGACTCATTTCCGCATGACTTTCAGCGAAGAAACCTCAACCTAAAGCTTTGTATCAAGTGAGGGGGCACACTAAAGATAAAGCTCAGGTGAATGGTGAACATAAATCACAGATCCCGTATCCATATAGTGCATTGCATGAATTGTCCAACATATCGTGTCACAGAAAAACCCTACTTCTCCACCTTGCAGAAAGAAAACAGCAATCATACTTAGCCTTAATTAGCTAACATAGTTTAATTAAAGGCACATTTGGACTGGAATATGTTGTTCTTTCACACATCAATATCTTACTTTCGCAAACTCGGTTTGCTTTGCGGAAAAAAAACATAAAGGCGTGGGCTTGTACCTTTTGGCGGTGGACCTTTTGGAAAAACCGCGTTTTCGCCGGAGACACAGGGAACCTGTCACTAAGCGGATCCAAGTTGCAGGAAGAATCTCACGCACCGTCTCTCGCGTTCGGACATCAAACCTGGAGCTGTGGAGAGTGATTTCAATATGTCGATTATTGTAGATCGATTGATGGACAGGGGAGGTTCTTGAATTTCAAAAAAGAAAACACAATTATACAGTTATACAGTTATACAAGAATATACAATAATAGTGTCATTTTATATTGTGTCACTTTTCTTGACGGATGGATAATTAGATTAGATGTCATGCAAACCAGGTGTACGGTGAACTTTGCAATATGTTTTTTTGAATCAACGAACAGGTGGTGAGCAGTCTCGAGGGCGGTCTTAGACTCTAGAAGAATACGAGCTCGTGGATACTGTCTCGTATCGTAGGAGACAAACCTTCGTCGTCGTCCGGACCGCTGTGGTGGTCCGGACCACCACAGCGGTTTGCACCGGGACACCTCGGACAGCACGACACCTCGGCGGCTTCGCGAAGAACAGGCGGCGGCAACGTTCGGAGAGCCCAAGGCAAAGCGGCTTAGCCAACGTTCGGACAGCCAGGGCGGTCAACGTATACATCAACCTGCCCAAAATCCCTTAGCTTTTGAGTGCATTGTCATCGACCTCCTGAGTGCTATGTTGTGAGCGCGTGTGTAATCCAAACATATCCCACAATATTACTCATACTCGACTGATCAATCTTGGACAGATTGATTCGTGAACATCGGACGGAGAAGGCGCTTGGGTTTCATGCACCATATTTGTTCAATTATATATAATAATATTATTAACTATATTAACTGTTCTTGTACCAGTTCTTGTGAGTTGTCTCCACTCTGGATTTACGACAGCAATCCAACATCCTTTGCTACTTCCCTACGATTTCAATTTGACAATCTTTCCAGCAAGTCAGCCAGTCACTTCGTCTTACGAAGCCCAAATCAAACGTTTGGAATAAAAGAGTGTTATACGGTGTCTGTGCCCAAGGCACCGGTGATGATTTGATGCACTTCCTCCGCCAAGATGCTCAAAATGCCTCCAACAAGATACTCAAGGCGGTCGTGGGCGAAAGCTGGTGCTTGAATATTGGACAAACTACGCACACAATTTCAGTATGAGGTGTGCCCCCATGCAAGACATGAACACATCTACTGTGTGAGAGAGAGAAGAACAAAACATATCTCAGGTAACGTAACGACTGTTTCTTATTTTAACACGTGTGCCAATATTGACGGTTTCTTATTTTAACAAATGTATGAATCAACATGGATGCATACATGACTATACAGTAATGATTATACAGTAATTCAATTCTGGTTGCAACAATGAGCATCCATAACTTTGGTAAGCGATGTGTTGTAACCCCACATTCTAATCATGCTTGGGATATTCCATAAGTCAAATCAATACTTTCCAGCCGATACACTCCCACCGCGTATGGTGACAGCCTAAAGTGTCCACGTTTAAGATGCAAGAACATCACGCAGCACAGCGGAGACCAGTTGCATGAGATTTTCACTGTGACCCGTTGCGGATTACTCCATGGAGGCTTTAAGAAATGAACTACACTTTCCACACCAGCAACCTCAATCATCCTCAATCAAAGAGAACTCCACTGGCAAATTAAATAGTGACATCCGGTGCCAACGAATCCAGTCCGAGCCATCGAGCTGCTGAGGAAGAAAAGGATCTCCCAGCAAAGTAACCAAAGATTGGCGTAAGGTCTCATTTTCAAGGACCTTAGGTGACTGCAGGACAGTGACTTTCAGAAGGTGTCGCGATGTTGTGGCAACAGTGGTGTTGTTTGATATTGGTTTCACAACAGCTACGTCTCTGGCTGATCAAGACGGTAAAAGGATTGTGTGTTCCTGAGCTTCAAAAGTCTTTTCCAAAGAAATGCACGGGGCCTTCCCAAACCCACCTACCACATACCCAAGATCCTTCTGAGAGGCTATCTGCTCCGTATAATGGATCATTGATCTAATACGCCTATGGTATACCTTGGGTCGCCTAGGTATACCTCGGGACAAAACCGGGGTAGAACCTGGGTCACCACCGAGACGCATCAAGGTGATCTGCTTCCAAATCCGTCCCGAGCGGGCCAGCAAGAAGTGAATATCGGTGAGTGTGAGGATGTCAAAGTCCGGGTTATAAAGCACCATGCTGATCTGGGGCAACACGAGTCGGTTTTGTTGCGTTTTTTTGGTTCACTGATCTGAACACCCAATCAACTGTCGGATTGGATGTGCTCTCCAACCGCACCTTCCACGTCTTTCTTACTCCTCAGACTCCTCAGTTTCCAGCTCCTACACACAACCCCCCCCCCGGTGTGGTTTCCTGATCACCCTTGTGTGAACACATCAAAAGGGGTCAAATGAATCAACTGTCCCCAGATTGTCCAGTGATCGGTCTGGCCTTCCAGTGATCAGTCTGTGCGCTGAGCCAGTTGCTCCTCTCCAGCTGTGTGATCTTGTCGCTGGGATCGTCCAAGAAGCTGAACCATCTCTGGGCGCGGTTTCAGTCGTTGGGGCCGGTTTCTTGAAAAATAGAGGGGCGTAGCCCAAGAGGAACCGAAAAGTCAACGGTATAAGCATAGGACATATACGAGAAAAACCTCAGAATTTTCAAGGCAAACACGATTCCACCAGGTGAAGCTAGGTATGGGATGGACATTCAATATTGTTGGATTCAATTTGGATTCTCTTGTGCCAAGCAGCAGTCTTGTTGGAGTCCTCAATGAAATCCAAAAACCCAACGTCGAAGTCTGTGGGCTGAATGGTGAAGTCCTTCCCTGTCCAGAAAAGCATCTAGGTGTGGACAAGCTCAGTGATGTCCAAGCATTGAATCCAAACAATTACACCAGCATAGACAGCATAGACCCCAAATAGCTGGGCAGAATTCAACGACCCAAAAAACATCCAGTTCTGTAGCTGTTGACACGTACCACCGTGACTATCGTGACTCCAAAGCGAGCACAACCAGCTGACACCAAGACCGACACCCTGTCGCGACAGCACGCACAGGCCAGCTCACAGCACCGGCGCAAGCTCCCCGCACCGGCACCAGCACCGCCACCATGTCTCAACACCGCGGACAGCCAGCTCACAAACACCAGCGCTGGCCCAAGCACCGACACCCTGTCTCGAAAGCGTGCACAGCCAGCTGATGTTTGTTTGAAGTAAGAACCCTATAAACTATCGTTATTTGGGGAAAATATGTGTTTCAGTTGTAGAAACGCGTACATACACAAACAAGTCAAACAAGTTCTCTTGCATGAACGGAAATCCAGCCAGTGGTGGCCAGAAGGAAGTGAGAACCGATGCGCCAAAAACATCGTTAGTTGTGCAAAAAAAACAATAAACCATGACTGTTTGACAACCTCTTCCAAACGACAAAACAAATGCGACCAGTCCAGTTTCATTGCGTCAGCCGAACCTAATTCGGAACAACTGTCACTGGTGGTTGTATTGTCCTTGGATGAGGACAACGTGCACCAAAAGAACCGTTCAAGAACAACGCTCTGCGCAAGGCAAAACATTGCACACGTAGTGACATGCAAAACAAAAAGTAAAACAGTAAAACCATGAAAAATGCACTGAACAACTTCAGGGGTCTATGGCCTGCAGCAAATCAAAATTGTCGCAAGCAGTGGCCTGCAGGCAGTGTGCGAACACACCGTTTTGCGTTGCTTTGCACTTGAATCTTCGACAGCCTTCGAGGCTGCGAACGGTATAGATGAACAAACAGCTAGAGCAACAAAACGAGCAGTCACAGAGTCCAAAGCATGTCATGTAACTTGTATTCATTTGCATGTATATAATCATGTAATCATGCATGTTGCATGAAGAATGCCATGGTTTCCAGCCAGGTGTTTAACTAGAGGCTGGCACGCGCCTGAGACAAACAAAGTGGTGACCAGAAGTGCTAAGTCATGCTTCCAAGAACCACGCAGCAATTTACAATCCAGTTTGTCAAGGTTGGCTTGCCCTACCTTGGCAGTCTGCTGCGACAGCTTGACCGGCCCAAGCTTTCCTGAGGGCGTGCAAGGCAAGGAATCGGCTGCAAAATGCTCCAGAGCACTTTTGTCTGCAGCAACTGCCTACATGAACAGTCCCTTGCCAGCGGTCGCTTGGAGCACGCTATCGCCTAACTTCGAGTGACCCTTTCTGTACGGCGCGGGTCGTTACGAGTATCTGGACTTGGGTTTGTGCAATTTCTATACTCTGAAACCACCCTTTTATGATGTTTTACGCCAAAAAGGCCGGCCGAGACGCGATTCACATCGCGGTAGACTTGCTTCTCCCGGGCCGAAAGGGCTGCCTGTTGCGCGGCAGCAGGCAGGGTTGAGGGTTCAACAAAGAAACGGCGCATGTGATTTTTTAGCAGGAAAACACATGCTTCTGTGACAAGAAATTGCCCTTTGCGAAAATCACTTTGACCAAATTACACACGGTTCACGACATGTCTCGCCTCTTCTTGGTGGGGTGTTCAACCGAATTGCTTGGTCACAGTGCCGGGCCGTTTCCCCAATTTTTGGTTGCCAAAATCCTGACCTCTGCCCTGGTCCGTGCGGTAGCCAGCGAGTCTGGAGCGCACCCGCCACTGACGGGGAGAACATGTTTTTCTGTGTTTTTTGTCTTTTCGAAGGTGCATGAAGGCGCCAGGTCGGGTCTGGAGGCTACTAGTCTAGATACTAGTAGCAAGGTGCCTTATAGTCCCTAAGCAAGACGCTCCATGGGACTGGCATATTTGCATACATAGGGGAGGTTTAGGGGCCGATGTAGGCAACAAAAAACCCATGGAGTGTCTGGGTCAGTGTGAGGGGCACCCCTATCCTCGCAGCGTGCGGCAGCGACACGAAACTGCTGGGTTGTTGTCAATTCTTGTGGATGTTGCTGCTGTCAGACCCGTGCTGTGACTGTGGACTGTGACCAACGAACGATGGTTTGGCAAGCAAAAATCAACCCCATGAAGCCCAACAGCGGGCTAGATGTGCAAGAACAAGTGCGGGAACACTGCTGCTCCTACCTGTGCCAGTAAGATCCATGAAGGGGGAAAACAAACACATTGTAAAACAAGCAGTATCAAGCCGTCATCAGTCATGAACCATTGAACAGTGCTTTCAGGGTAAGAGGTCAACGTTTACATCCAGGCTTCTCGCTTCGTAGCTTCAATCTGATTCTCTGTGGATGATAGACAAGCCCCCCTGACAAGCCGAAGGACCGAAGGAGAGGAGAACAAGAATAGACCATGAAAGCTTGTGACAGACTCGTCGACCTGGCCCTTGGGGCAGTTCGTTGGCCCCTCTCGGACCGGAGAGCGAAGGTTCGAGACTCTCCAAGAGGCGACTGCTTGCGGTTGGGTGCTTGGTTTCTCTCCATCGTAGCCAGTGTTGGAATAGTGTAGAATTCAACATTGAAAGTCATGAAAGGCACTCACTAGTGAGGTTCATGAAGCCAGCGTGATTGGTCTTTTTGTTGATTCAGGGTTCATGGGGTTCCAGCCGTGTGTCTGATGTCGGCTTTAGTGAGAACACCGTCTCTCCACTGGCTTTGGAATAAGGTCGGCACTCTTATCAGAGTCAAATGCCGAGAGGCAGTACTGAGGCTGGAGCCCTCCGACACGCTGCTGCTCTGTGGCATGTAGATTGCTGCAAAGCCTCTGGCTCTTTATGCGAGTGAACACGCAAGTTGAGTTGAAGCGAAAGGAAACAGCTAGAGTCCTGGATGATCTTGGATGCTCTTGTTCCGCACATGTTCTTGGAGTTGTGGACTATGATCCAGCACTCTATCAGAGTACAACCAATAGAGGCTACTGTAGATTAAAAACAACTGTATGTCGATGTATATCCTGTAGATCCTGTAGATTGTTGCTGCAGTTGCTACAACTGACAGTCCCTGATGCCGAGCTCCCAAATTGCCTGCAGCAAACATCCATTGCCTACAGGACGCCTCGTTTCGCCACTTTGGCCGGTGAGGCAGGTGAGCAGAGATGGGCATCATGTCGGGTTGAGGATACTCAGCTGTAAACCACGCCCCCACGTTGAGGATACTCAGCTTTCTTCCTTTATTGCTTAAGGGAACCAACATCTTCAGAGCAGAACTGGCCAAACCCTTCGCCCCCCAGATCCCGACCCTTGCGATCGCCTAGGCGAAACCAGGAATAAAAGTCGGCGAAGCTGTTGACCTCGGGCAGGGCAAACACCGACCCAAACACTCCATGTATGGCATAATATGACATACCTGGATCTTCCAACTGTTACCAACCAATTTCTGCCTATATAACTATATATATATATATGTATCGTGGGGGTGGTTTCAGGGGTCAATGGGTTTACATACAGTTGCATACATGGAGTGTGTGGGCAAAGGCTTGAGGAGCTTGTTAGTATCCAAGTCTTTTCTCAGGGTGCATAATCGTCGTGGCAACATAGGTTTCGCCCTAGCAACCTTTCTCAGCAAGGTGCCAGGAGAAAACAAACAATTTCACTACCAAGAGAGGTTGAGAGACCTTATAGGACCCCATAGTGGTACGTATGGGATGGGCTATAAGGCTGTTCAACCTCTCTTGGTACCCATGGCTCAGACCACCAAGTTGAGGCTTTTAAGCGTTGGCCCGCATCACAGCCGTCCCAGCGGGCCATCCGCAGCGCGCAAGCTGATGCGCGCTGTTGAGTGGCTGGTTCAGCATCACAGCGAGCGCTCGGCTCCCATGTTTACTACAAGTGTCTCATATGTTTATTTGTTTCATCTTGTTCATCTTTAAGAGGAAAACTCACCGCAGCCATGGTGGGAAGTGACTAACCTTTCTTCCCGCTTTCTCACCGGCTGCTCGGGTGTTTGGCGTCTGAAAACGAGTTCTAGTAAACGGCTGGTTCATGGTATCCAAAAAATGGGGGGTCATTCCTGGCAGTCTGATAGCAGAAAGTTTCTTGGGGCCTGCCAAAAAAAACTGTGAAGCGTCCCAGTGGCATCGTAGAGATTCTTATGCGCGAAGGTGCCGACGCTGTTCACGGCAAAATTTGCATTCTCTTCCTCGGAGGGATCATGTTGCGTGCGGGTGGCTTCCAAAAACATGTTGCGTTCGCTTGTGTGCATTCACCGGACAAGTTTTGTGGGGAAGCCCCGCCCCAACCCACTTTGTTGCGATTTGGGCCAGTCTGAGCATGCGCCCCGCCAGTCTGAGCATGCGCCCCCTTCTCAGCTTCTTCAATTACAAGATCGCCGATCTAAACAGATCGGTGGTGTAAAAACCGGACACCGAAGGATGGATGGGACACAGTGAGACCATGCTGAAGAACTCTATAGAAAACCCTATAACTGATTACCGCGCGAGTCCGGCGTGCCTGCAACCACGTGCCGCATGAGGCAAGTCTGGCGTGGAGGCACGTGCCATCATGGCCCAAGAAACACTGAGTCTGTGGGGATGTGGCTGATCGCTTTCACACCGCTTTCTCTGTGGCAAAAACCCCAATGGTGTCGGACCGATGTGTCACCTATGTTTCGTTCGATCCTCAGTTTCGCACGAAGCGGTGAATGAAACCGAGGAACCGAAGGATGGTTGGAAGATGAAATGGCTTTCTCCAAAGAGTTTGGAGACTTGACGTTCCTATGCAGTCAACTGGGTCGCTTGTCATGTCATGTCGGTCACTCCAGTCACATGACAACGAGCAGGTGCTCTTTTTGCCCTTTTTTGCCATCCAAGGGTCAATGTCCCACCGAATAGCTCTCCTCGGTCATTCAAGTGGAAATCAATAAGGTCCCAAACGCCAACACCCTGACAGCGGGTAATTTGGGGCGGGGTGTCCTTTTGGCACTCTGAAGACATTTTACAGGGCATAGACACTTCAATGTGTTTCTTGTTTATCACTTGGACAATTCAGCCTCTTACACCGCAAGCTCTGCAGTGTGTGCAAGCCGAGTCCCATTGAATCTGCCCCCGGCCCCTACTCTTGTGAGTCTCTCTCCCAGTCCCATCGTCCATTGCTGGAGCGCATGCGAACGATTCGCGTTCATCCTCCGGAGTGTTGACTGCAAGTGAGGTGGATCCTGTGGGCACCCTCCACGACCCTCCACTACCCTGCGAGCTGGTGGTCTACCTAAGTCAACGGTTTCAGAGGTGTTCAAGGTGTTTTCCTGCGGAACATTCATCCCAGGAAGCCTGAAAGCCACCAGAAACCCAGGCCACTGAGGTGTTCTGAAAGTGCCTTTGTGCTGTATTTCACCCGGTCCACCGGCCACCAGCAATTTAATTGAACTAAGGTCCAGCTCACCAGCTCAGTATGCTACCAGGATTGACAACAAAAGTAAAACGAAACCATAGGAGACAAGGCTGCCTAGAACTTGACTGGCCCCTGTTCCGCTAGGAAAAAGCCCAATTTGGAAGTGCCCCGTTGACAGGAATTACTGTATCATACTGTACCCAGGTGGGCACAAGCTTACCAATCCATTCCCCAGTCCCCAGTCTGACTCTTGAGGAATGAAAGTGGGCTAGTGGGCTTCGGCACAGTGGAAGGAGGGTTGCCCAGCATCTTGATGGCAGCAGGAGTGAGCAACGGATGTGCTCATTGAAGCTTCAAATGTCTATGGTCTTATCTACTGTAGGTAGAAAGGCCGACTCCGCTCCCTCTCATTCAGTCCAAACATATTCCACCAGCGATCTGCAGCTGGCTTTTCATGGCTTTTCCATCTGATGAAGGAACATCACATGAAGGAACAGATGTTGTCCTGGTGCAATCGTTTCGAGTAACCTTATGGGGTCATATCATGTCATTGAGTCATATCAATGTATGTCCATCTTAGATAATCTTAGTTAGGGATAGTTAGGATTAGTTAGCGCAATTACTGCCCGTTTGCAGCTTTGTCGTTCATCTCTTAGTCATTCTTGGTCCTTCTGCATCCAAGAATCTCAAGGCTGTGGGTATTGCCAATCATCTGTGGCACAAGCGCAAAACAGCAAAGGAACAACAAAAACACGTCCGGACCTTGAACACCCGAACCAAAACGGTCTGAGCCAACACACGAACCTCCCAGTTGGGTGGACCTTTCCCGAAACCGCGCACGGAAAAGGACGAACGTGCGGAAACCGCGATGGCTTTCGCTGGAGACCTTTCCGCCGCCGTTCGTTTTCGCGAGCTCGGACCATGTTTGCGCCACGTTCAGCGCTTCTCACCCGCCTCGTGGGAAAAGAGCATCAGCGCAAAGAACAGGATCATGAACAAGGTCCGAGGCAGGGTCCGGACCGCCTCGAGGCCGCCGCTGTTCGGTCCAATGGATCAACACCCCACGATGATGGCATGGACGGCTTTTCGGGTCAACACATGGAACCTCAAGGTTGGACTGTCCCGCACGATGATGGCATGGACCACGAACGTACGAACACATGGCGCTACGTGGAGTTCACCCACTGCGTTGGTTCGAGGATTTCATCGTCTTGCAAGAGGCTATGCCATCCACTTCCATGTGATGTGTTCGTCGGAGTGTATATAGTTGGCTCTCTGTTGCTGGAACTCTCACACAGGTCTGCGAACTGCGAACCTCGTTTCGAGCCCCGGTTTCAGGGCGCACTGAACCTTGTGATATGGGATCTCCCGAAACTAAACTCGTACTCCCAGACCAGCGAAGTATCCGCCTTCAGGCAGAAACCCTTCGTGTGGTTGCGCTTAAAGCCTCCAAACTATATCTGTCAGCACCGGTTGATACCGCGATACCCTAGCCCTAAACATGCTTGCCGAAGCCTGATTGCCATGGGATTTGGGGCTGAGCATAATTCAAGAATTGCGTGCCGACCAGTATTTGCACTCGCAGGACAAACTATGGACATTGTTCATCAGTACTCACAATCTAGACTGCAACCCCCCATTTCATACCAAACGTCCGTTCAGTCTAGTGCCGTTCAGTGAACAATCGCCACTGAATATCGCCACAGGATGATCAAGTCTGGCGACTAGTCTATGTGCCAACCGTTTGCCACCTCAACTGAATTCATCCCAGACACTCCATGTATGCCATATATACCTACATTGACCCCCAAAACCACCCCCATGTAGGCATATATGGCATACATGGAGTGTCTGGGAATTAGTTTCTCTATCTGCCCCTCTATCTGCCAAATTGTGATGTCCTATCGGTAGCCATTTTCTCTTTCGCATAGGCGCGGCTTGACCGTCTATGTGTTAATTCGCACCGTACACATGCCACACTGTACATACGGGGTATATTCTAATTGCCTTTCATACCCACTCACAAGCATTGAGCCCATTTCAACCACCCAAATAGATGTTTCTGTTTGGTCTCACCTGGGTTCTTTGTTGCTTCATCAGCGGTGGAGTAACACACTCCATCCATTTCTCACATGGATGCCGGAGTGTGCGGGGTAGAGTCCATCCATGGTCCCCTTGGTGGTGTCTGAGGGACGGAGTATCTTGGGAGAGTTGTCAGCACTGAACTTCTCTACGAGCACAGTGACAGAGCGCACTGGAGCGACTTGACTGGGTGAACTAAAAAGGACTTGACATGCTCAGGGTTTGCGTGGCTCGGGCTCAAATACAGGGTATATCCCAAAGGCATCGGGGAAAGGCTGGGCCACACAGTGTATCATTGTAGGCGTGCAAATGCTTACAAGAACATCTTGCACTCTCCCAAAGGTGTAAATTGAATTAGACAGCACAATCCCCAAGCTCAGCAAACCCCAGCCACTCTCTTAGTTGGTCATGAGCTACTTGCAACAGCTGCATGGAACATTGGTTCAGTCCCAACATCCCAATGCCGGTCCTGAAGGCTTCTTAGGGGCTACATAGCAGTTTCCATATCATGAGAACATCTACACGAGTCGAGGGCATGATGTGGATTTAGAAAATACGTGCAAAACGCAGGAAACATGGACTCAGAGTCGAGGGCCCTTGGTTGTTTTTGGGCCACATTTATGAGTCATCTCGATTTCAATCATCGGCTATAACTGGCTCTTTTTGTGGTCAAACTTAGGCCCATGCAATGCTATGCATTCACAGAAGCAGGTGTGTGTGTGATTCTCCATCAATCTGGTCCACCCACCGCATTCTACCCCCAGCACCGACCCTCTTGGAATCCTTCGTATCTTATAGCGGGCACGGGTGCCTCATCACTGAACCGTTCGATCCTCCTCGCCTCATCACAATCGATCTCTCTCTGCCAGTATGTGAACAGCTCTTTGGCCTTGGCTCCAAGAGACATTGACGGACAGCTCTTCACGTGGACAGCTCTGGGGTGTGCTCAAACGACCAAATCGTTGTGTCCACTTGCTCAGCACATTGAGCACGCAGCACATAGCACATAGTCATAGCACATGATCTTGCATTTGTTGTTTCATGAGGCCTGATGGTCGTCTTCACATCTGCGACCAAGTCCAACAGCTTGCCTAGGGCCTAGCTTGTAGCTCACAGCACTTTGATCTTAATTCTTCATTCTTTTTCGAGGTCAGCCTCCCTTTCGATCCCACAAAACCGGCCGCTGCTACCTCCCAATGCCTGTTCACGTCGTGCGGGGCCACCCCCGTCGAGGTACTGGGACGCCATGGTGACGTGCGACCTCTTCCGGTTCGATGCGCTGGAACTCGAGTCCTCGGGCCGTGACCGGTTCGAGGCTCCTGGTCCGAGGAACCTCCTTCGGATTGGCTGGCTCTGGCTGAAGAGTGGGGTCATACGGAAGAGCAGCCATTGGGTCTAAATCAGTGATGACATGTAATTACCCTAAGAGAATCTTCGGAATATAAACGATAACATCATGAAAACGTATTGTTAAAAAAAAGTCCAAAAACAAAACCGCAATATCTGTGGTGCTGACCCAGGAGCCGCTGGTGGTCTCCACCCAATAGAAGACACGATGTGTTACTGTCATCCTTACAGCCACGCGCTGGGATGCTTTGAGCCGAGAACATTCCGCGGAGGTGAGCAAGTTTGAGCCTCAGCGACTCAGCACGGCATCCAGAAATCCTCAGAACTCCAAAAACATGTATAGACTATAGTATATATATATGCATATAATACTCATGACTCATGGCAATGCCCCTAAAATCCTACCTCAAAACGTTTTGATGTTGCAAAGGTAGTCCCCCTAGAGTTTATAGAGGATCATGCCACGGGGATTGTATCTAGGAGTCAAATTCAAGGTCAAAAAGAGGCAAACTTCAAGCAAGAAGTCCTTTGTGGAAGCCAATGGATCTGGAAATGAACAAGATCAGGATTCACTCGCGAAAACAGTACCCCCACTCAAACAAACAAGGTCCACACAAGACTCTCTACGTGTATGGTTTGTATGGACCCAATCTCCAACTATCAATAATTCTACTGGACGTTGCTTTTTTAAAAAATAAACATATTGTTATAATGAAAACATGTGTCTATTGAGCTCCTAGATGTTCCTACATTGAGTCACTCACTCCACGAAAAAAAGGAATAACACACACACCCAAGCGTGGCCACATTCACCACCTGGGCCGCGGAGGAGACCTCAGCAGATTGGAAGCGACACCAAACCTAGTAGCAGTGGCCTCCAACCTAGTAGCAAACTATAATTACACCTTTCGTCATTTGTGTTCATGGTTAATAGGGATGGCCTCCAACCTACCAGCGACGGCCTCCAACTTAGTACCTCCAACCTAATAGCAAACAGTATTAGACCATTCCTCCTTA